ACCCCAATCACCAGTAATGATCAATACATCTTGATTGCATGTTTGATTAATTTCAGATTGAAGACGTTGGTAGAATTCTTCTATTTCATCCTCACTGGCTTTAGTGGTTGGTGCGTAAATTTGAATAATAGTGGTATTAACTGGTCTTCCCTGAAGGTGCATGGATATTATCCTATCACAGACAACACTATACCTCATGACTGATCTGGATAAGTTCTTTTTGACAATGAACGCAACACCATTCCTCTTCAATTTGTCATTCCCGGCATAATAAACCATGTGGTTGTCAGATTCAAAATGGCCAATATCAGTCCATTTCATCACTAATTCCTAAGATAATGATGTTTATGTGATCCATTTAATTTTTTACAATTTCCAATTTTCCCAGATTCATACTTCATATAGTCCATGTTCCGATTTTCAGTGGATGCTTTACAGCTGTTTCTCTTCATTTTGAGCTGTGCCCCATCAGCACATGAAGGTCCCACAGGCTTTTTCCCACGGGCTTTATACCATTCACATCATTACGGTCAACTCTACTTTGAGGAGGCAGCTCTTCCCCAGTCGCATTTTGAGTGCCTTCCAACCTGAGAGGCTCATTTTTCGGCACTATATCTGACAGTGTTTCTCTTGCTATTCATAAGGTTTTCAGTGACTAAATATTCGGAAGTAGTGCGTCACTCTTTCTTCCCAGTCTGTCTTCGACTAGGAGCTCATCTGAAACCTGTCCACAATGTATGACCATTCTGGTATTTTAAATACTGGTGCCTGGCTTTCAATATCACAGCAACTCACATATGACAAAGTGACAGATGAGTAACATATGGTTATGGTTAAAATGGCTAAATAGTTAAAAGAAAGTTTTTTTTTTTCCCATTCCTATCGTGTTTTGTAAGGTGGAGGGTCAGAGAAAAAGAAGAAGACCCTCATTAAGATGGATTGGCCAAGTGGCAGCATCAATGGGCTCAATCGTGGCAACAGTAGTGAGGTTGGCCAGGATCAGGCAGTGTTTCGTTCTGCTGTGCATAAGGTCGCTATGAGTAGGTACAGACTTGATGGCACCAAACAACAACAACCAATGTAATGTCTGTACTTCATTTGAATGCTAATTTAATTTTTTATTCATTTATATTGTTTACCTATTAATAGCTTCCTGTTTCCTCATCATAAATTTGATATTAATATAAAATTTTAGA